CGGCTCATCGATTGGGAACTAAATTAAACGTCGCCAAAAATCTGTTGACGAGATCGCAAAAAATACCAAATAAAGTGGAATCTCAGCAAACAGATAGGCGACTTGTTCAGGGAGTCTTAAGACAAAATAACTATCCAGACAAACTATTAAAAAGGATCGAAAAAAGTTTATCGAATAAAAATATGAAAAATTCAAGACATAAAGATTGGATAAGTACTATAGTACTTCCTTATCGAACATCCACTTCAGAGGAAATAAGACGTATCCTTAACAGTTACAACATCAGAGTAGTCTTTAAGGTGACGAATACATTACACTCACACCTGTGTAAATTAAAAGATCCGATTACTCATTTGGAACAGCAAAACTGTGTTTATAAGGTAGACTGCAGTGAATGCGATGCCAAGTACTGACACGTCTAGCCGAACACGGTAGAAGTTCCGAAAAACCACCGAAAAATTCCTATGATTTGCTATCGCGGCTCATGTCTATATTCAGGTCATAAAATATCATTCGGACAGACAAAAGTTCTGCAAAAGGATTTTCTTTCTCACAAAGAGCGGACCATTGCAGAAGCTTTGCACATCTGCTCATATCCTTCTTCGGTCAACAGAAAAGATGGGTTAGACATCCCACTAATATGGCAAACATTAATGACTCGTCTAGGCAGTTATAAATAATATCTGAAGAGAAGGTAGACTGTCTAGTCCTATTACATACACCTTATTGATCTACTATTTTCATCAATTTTACACTACTCTCTGAGTCATATACATTCGATGAACCATAACATAATCCATTTTGTTATCACTCGTACTTCAAGTGTTATCAATAGTACATTTATGGTTATCATTATTATTATTTATTGAAGATATATTGTCTCATCTTCAAATATTCATCCTTCCAAACTAGTAATCTATTCTTACTCATCCTTGATGTCTCACAACCCCATCGTACTTTTCATAGACGAACTAAAAATTTCCCCACTCTATTTTTGTTCCACCTTACTCGCACAACGGAAAAACCTCTCTGACCGAGTTGCTTATTCACTTACCTGTATTACACTGATCTTTGCTCCATATCACTATGTAATTGGATGATTGTAAAGGTCACCACTTTCTGTACCAAAACTTGAATATTAACCTGTCAGATTCATACTCTTGAAAAGCATCTTCCTAGCAAGATCGAAACGTTGAAGAATAATACAAAATATTTGTTTATTTTGTTATTTGTTCTAATATACTACTCCGGGATTACACAAGTAAAAATACATCCTATACAATGAATTTATTTTCAGGCTGTACATTCCTATACCTATATGATATTTGAAATATATCCCGTGACGAAAACTAAACACTATATGATGATAACAATAACAATAATATGGATGCTGACAAGGTAGATATGTAATATATGGACTGGTTCATAGAAGGTATATAGCTCAGAAGGGGGTGAAAAAATTGATAGAAGTGGTAAATCAATTAAGTATTGTGTAATAGGATTAGACAAGCTGATCAAGATGAAATCAATGTTTTCTAAAAAGATTAAGACAATTAAGTGAAATAACACCTGAAACTAATCAAAGTGAAGGCAATTATAATAACAATAATGGTGATAAAAGGATGCAAAGGTTAAATTAGCAAAGGAGGAGGGGAAGCTAATAGGGGTAGGAAAATGTTGCGGCCATGATAAAAGCAATGACTGTACATACTTCTTTTGTACACACAGATAAGGCTTTAGTTCATGAATAGCTAAAGCCTCCGCTGTTTTAAGGGGATGAAAATGAAGAAAACGTGGGATGTTTGGGCAAATTCGATAAATAATTTTAAAGTCACTGTCTGGGTTTGTTGAGTGATGGAAATCCATCAAATGTTCTAGAATCTAACTTCTAACAGATTGCTTTCATCTTTATAAAACCAAGCCGGAACATGTTCTGGTATACGTGTAGAAAGCATTCTCTGGCTACGGCGGATGTACCTTGCTCTACAACAGCAGGTGAACCGGTAGATGCACATAGACATGACCAAACGAGGAAGCCTATCTTTAACACAAATGGAGAATAGTTTACTGCTGTTGAAAGTTGGCTGAAGTCTTACTGAGAAGGAAGTTTTATTGACTGATCCCCTCATAGACGATTCTTTAGTACATCAGATGCTGAGTCACCTTTAAATTTTTTCTTTGAGACCGAGTGGATGACCGGTTTAGTATTTCTTTCTAGCATATTTCTATCAATAAAACGGCTAGGGTAGACGTTTTCGACAAGTGTGCTTTTAAAAAAACCCAACTCTTCATCAATACAATCTTCACTACAGATATTTCTTATTCGATAGCAGAGAGAGTGAATAAGATCTCTTTTTCTGTTGACAGACATACAACCATAAAAATTAGTTAGTTGTCCGTTCCACGTCGTTTTTCTGTAGATGAATCTTTTGAGATATTCATTCTTACGTCAGGTGAGAAGGATATCAAGGAAAGGAATAGTTGGTTCTAATTTCTTCTCTACAGTAAACCTGAGGGCTTGATGACATTCACTGAATGAACAGAGAACAGCGTCTAGATCAACATTTTTGTCACAGATAACAAAGGTATCTTCCATATATCTTCTATAAAAGTCAAAGCTATCAATAGTTTGACAAAGTTGAGAATTCTCTAGTTTTGACATGAAAAAGTCTGCTAATAATGCCTAAAATTATTAATCCTAGTAGAACGTATGGCATCATCAAGGTTCATAAGACAGGTTATCCCATTAGGCCAATAGTTGACTTTAAAAATACACCAACATATGAGTTATCGGAAATTTAGCTACAACATACAATTGCCCTATAAAGAATCGTTCAAAATCTAGGCTTTCCAATCCATTTACACTGAAACACGGACTAAGTAATATACAATTAGAGGAGGGGGAAAAGATGGTTAGTTTTGATGTAACGAGCCTCTACACAAATATGCCAATTAGTGGGCACTTGAGGTAATCAGAGATGAACTCAGGAATAAAACTAAAGTTTCCGTTGAAAAAATTATGCTAGGGATAAAATTATGTTTAACTTTCAGTTTTTGAATTTCAAGATAAAATATATAAACAAACAAAAGGAGTCGCATTGGGATCTTCAATATCCCCTATCGTAGCAGACAGGAAGAGAATTGCTCACGTTGCATTGCAAAATAAAGGGGAAAGAAAATGGAAGCCTAGATACTAGTATTCATAGGAAACCGACTTGGATTTCACATCACCACGCTTTAGGAATTGTCCTGGTGTGAAATTAACAGACGCAGAGGCTAATCATTAATTATTCGAACTTGTTATATACCCACAAATACGAGACCAAGAAAGAATACAATAACGTGGTCGGATGGAGCAGTATATCTGCGAAGTCGGGCAGAGATAGTGATGCATTCCAACTAACTGGCTAGAGTGTCGATTACGAGCAGTGCAACGTAACACGACAGTGTGTCAAATGGTGAAAATGCTTGACCTGGTGCCTTCAGCTTAGTGAGTCCAGCAAACTACCAAGGTTTGCATCGGTGTTGAATCTCGTCAAACCCTGGGCTATTGATTCTGGTGAAATGTGTGACTCTACATCACCCTATATCTGTCGAGGTAGACTTTATACGAAGTCTAAGTAATCGGACAAGGAGTTTGATCAGTAAACCAGAAGACCTAAATAAGGAACTGAAGCGTATCAAAGAGGCACTACGTCCTAACAGCCGCCCTCCGGAATTTATTAAAAAGTTTATGAGGACTGATAAGAACAGAAGTGGTAGTGTTATTGGTAATTGCAACATGCATAATTGGAAGTTCAAATCCACTGTAGCGTTGCCGTATAAAGAAAGTAGGTCGGAAATTTTACGTAGAATTCTTATCAATGCTGGCCGGGATTAGGGTGGCATTTAAACCTACAAACTTGCTCAGAAAGAAACTTTGTAGGCTAAAAGATCCAGTAGATCCAATTACGAGAAATAATGATCCGATCAACCAAATACTATGTAATGATTGTGAGGTCAAGTAGATAGGTCAGAACAGCCGATTTGGATCAGTTAGAATAGGAAAGAACAAAATTTAAGCAAAACACCCAGTGATAGACCCTAGTAAGACAAATAATTCAGACGAAAATTTGGTTATCACTCTATGTGCGCTGATCCATAATCATACTATATACGACGAGATGGACTGAGAATTTTAAGTTACAAAATAGCTGGATGGAAGAAGAGATTGATTACAAAATCTTTGTTCATTAAATTAAAACACCCATGACACACATATACCAGGAATGATGCATCACATATTGCGGATATCACAAACAAAAACTCCAATTTAATAAAGTTTTTAATATTGTGGTTTGTGAGGATTTTTAGTGAGTTCAAGTCAGTAACCATCGTGGACTGACATGAGTTGGGAGAACATTGGAAACCTGGTGGCACCAGACAGCTGTTTCGCTTCAGTATGGAACTCCTCAACAGTGTGCACCCATCACCCTGCAATAGATCGAACCCAAGATCTTAAGGTTAGGTCGCCAGCACGTTACCACTGAGGCACTGGATCGGGATCCGACGGTCCGTATTTCCAGCATCTGGCAGTTCGTGACATAGCGCCACCATCACCCAATCTCATCGTTGATTTTTTGTCCTCATGGCCACCGGATTTACTCCACCAGTCATGACTTCTTAGTAGAACTTCAAGAATCCCCTCTGGAAGCTAGTCACCGGTGAGCACTAGACTGATTGAGTTTGGGAGTTTGTGGGGATTTGGTGACTTTGCATGTTTGTATTCACTACGGACGGACATCACTTGGAGGAAGATTGGACAGGTGGGATTACTGGACAGCTGTTTCGTCCCAATAGTATAGAACTCCTCCCAGGTTTCTAATTTTCCTCCAGTTGATATCAGTCCATGATGAATATCAACTAGAAATCAATAAAGTTCTTCATGAAATTATTGAATCTTTGAGTTTCAGTTTTAAGAAGAAGTATTATATTCAACTAAAATTTTGTTATCTCACTAGGTGCCTGAGAATAATGATGTTGGTCTGGTTATTGGAGAGGTGACTGCATTGGATCCTGATCTTGGACCAAATGGGGCATTAAACTACAGTATTCACTGGCCTCCAGGTCAAGGACCAAATCCATTTGAAATAAATACCAAAGGTGAACTAATAACTCGTATGCCTTTAGACAGAGAAAACCAACCTGAAGGTTATCATTTCATTGTAAGTTATACATTTTTTACTCCTTATTGTTAGTATGGTGTCATTCATTATTTAATGCCATTTAACAACACCCAAAAGTGGAGTATTACGGTTCGAAGAACAGATGGAAAACTTTGTGGTCTATTTGATGGTTAGCAAGGGAATCCGGCATGCGCGTTTCGTTTTATCTGGGACTCGTCAGTTAGATGTACTTGAACCCCAGTAAGTGATGATGTTCCCACTGGGACTCGAACTTTGTGTCCACCGCTTCAAACGCCAAAGCTTCATCCACCAGGCAATTGAGGTACCATAGCCACCTCTTGTGCAATGTGTATCAGTTGCTGTTTGTCGATACTTGTAATTTCCTGTTGCCATACACGGTCGAATTGCTCGACCTATGTTGGCAGATGGGCACCTTTTCAGATGCCTCGATACTGCCTGGATTCTCCTTTTATTGCAGTCTATTTGATGGCTAGCAAGGGAATCCAGGAGACACTTTTCCTCCCGTTTGTGACTCTTCAGACAGGTGTGATATCGTTACCAGTGAGACTCAAACGCAGTACACAGTAATTCAACAAGAAACTACAAGTAATAATAAACAATATAGAAAACTTTATTATTAGTGTTCGTTACTTAAAGACACCTGATCACTGCTTCGGTAAGATAATGATCTAGTCACGTTTTTTGCAGTTTTATTATCAACATACCACCATTAGAGGGACGAGGTCTCCAAAATGACCTCTTTAGATAGGCAGAATATTAGAGCAGATAACGGACAAAGCATCGCATCTCTTTTTCATAAGAAGTGTTAACCAGTGGTCAGTTGTAAACAACAGCATCATACTTTACATCATTTTCTAAGGGAGGCAAACTAATGACATCATTTGGAGAGCCACTGAAGGAATCTGACAGTAGTGGACAGCTGCTTCATTCTGTTATGGAACTCGGCAGTAGTGCGTATTCAGGGCTCGAACCCAAGGTCCTTATTTCTCCCAGAGAGGTTAAGGCTGAACACTACTATCCAGTACTCTCAAGGTTTTTCATTACCTCTTCAACTAATATCAGTCTTTATTAAATACAATCTTGAAATGTAGTTTTATTACGCAACCAGGACTGTAATCGACAGAGTAATAAAGTGAAGTCTTATTTTATAATTATGTTTATGCGGAATAATCAAATTACCCGCCGATATCAAAGAACCTATTCAAAGGATTCAACATAACCAAGTAGTAAATCATTAGGAGTTAGTCTGTTTAATATTCAGTCGTAAAGAAACACTTGACGAAAAGAAAAAGGTTTCGTAACTACTCATAAAATCTAAATGATACAACATGTTGCTGATATAAAATTTTATTATACATAAAAAGAAGATATACAACTGCATTACAAGCATAGCAAACAAAATGAATACACTGGATACAATTAACTTGGGTATAGCTAGCAGTGGAATCCAGGAGGTACGTTTCGTCCTATTTGGGACTCGTCAGTTGGATGTACCTGCATCCCGGTGAATGATGTTGTTCCCGCTAAGACTCAAACCGCATACCTGTCGCTCCAAGTACCAAGGCGTTATCCACTAGGCCAACAGAGGTCAATCCAGTATAATAATAGAGAATAACAAGTATCAACAAATGATAACAGTTCATTGGTTGTTTAGCGTTTTCTTCATTGTCTATTGTTTTTACCTCTACCTGATCTTCTCTTCGTTCTTTTCTTACATCATCAGTCTAATCATACCTGAAGATTATTTGAAGTGATGATCACTTATAGTCTATTTAGTTTAACCAACATATAGAAGAAGGATTCAACAGAAAAGTATTTCTTCAGGAAGATAATTCCTCACAGAGTCTTTATTTTGGCACCAGCTTGAAAAAACAAACCTTTTCGAATGAATTATCTTTCAGTATCTTCTGATACTTGGAGTCATGAGCTGTGTTCATTTGAACACCTGAAACAGGAAGAGTCTCCTCCAAACTCAAGATATGAGCGGCTAACAAGTGTCGGTAAGGATGAAACCTGGGTCAGATGGGAAGGCTTTCAAAATACAGTCTCCAGACACACAATTAAGAGATTTGGATATAAATTTTTATGTAATTACTCCTTCACATTATTCTTAGTAGGATTAAATGTTCACAAGTGTATATTTCAGCGAAAATTTGTCTGATTATCTAAACTGTCAACTATAAGAAACACTGTTATGACAAGGTGGAAAATATACTAAGTATAGTTTTACTGACTTCTTCCGAGAAAAGTAAAGATTAAGCAAATCTTGAACTGACGAGTCTATAGTACATCGTACATACAAGAAAAAGCATCAAAACTTTTTTATGTTACAATAAATCAAGAAATCTTGTGAAAATATTTTAAATGGCCTCGGTATTGAATGACGCTTTTTGAATATGCTACTTCGAAATCATCTATCTTTTCTAGTTGATTGAAAATCATTAAACTTTTTTCCTCTTGCAAAAAGTTGTGTAACTGTCGAATATTTCAAAAGGTTAAAGATTGTGTTGGTGGTGAAATTTCACAGATATTGATTACCAAGTACCATTTATCTCCCACTCGTCAACTAAGAAAATATTATACGCTACGTTAATACCATCATCATTTTATGCTGATGGTTATGAGTAGTGTGATGCAGACCTTTATATGAGGTCATGTGCTGTCCAGCTATGGAGGCGGAATAAGTTCAAATGGATTCGAACTTGCAATAGTACCTGCAGGGTACATTAGCTATTTTGGTATCACAATGAATAAAGGATGCTTATCGGTAGTTTCAAGCCAAAGCACTTAGATACTGATGTAGTCACTAGCTGCTGTGAACCACTTTAGAAACGCTTCTAGTGATATGTTTTGCTACGATTACCGGAGTACCATAGGGAGACAATAATATGAATATTAATGCAGTTGACTAGTGTTTAGTAATTCGAAATATCTACCATATTATTCCGTGTAACGTATTTAGTAACACTTTTAGTCTCGCAGGTGGTAGTCTACAAATTGTAAAACTAGAGTCTACAGTCGACTAATCTGTGTTTAGGAGACTTTCTATGATAAGCTGAAATCCAATTAACAGGACATGTTTCGTCTTCAATGGTAAGAGAGCCAATCTGAAACTTTTCGGGAATTCCTGTTTCCTTAAGGAGCCGAACCTGTTATCAAATGATAGACCGTGAAGCTACCTCCCATTGGTGTACTAATCTTTGACATCCCTTCATCCTTGGTATAAAATTCAGTAAGCCTATACCCATAAACTAGATTTTATTTATGTCGAATTGTCTGATAGTGTTTCTGAAGTATCTTATTACGTATAGTCTACTCAGTACGTTGCTAACTTCATATGTTTAAGTTCTTTTTCTATTATAAATAACCTCGAAATATCCGTCATTTATTTGATAATGAGCTTCCAAAACCAAGAAAGGAGAAGGGGTTGAACAATCTTCTGTTGCCTACACAGTTCACGCTTCTGCATATGGATGGTAAGAGCTTCGGGAATGCAGAGAATATGAAGACATACAACATTTGAAAAGTTTGTTTTCACTTTGTGTATGACTTTGGACGCGAAAGTTTTCGGGATAGGGTGATTCGTGTTCACGACTGTTCATTTATAACACTCATCGCTCCACTGTTACTTATTTGTAACCACACAGGACAGTGTCCTTGAGCCCTTTTCGATAACAATCGCAACGAAGGACCTATATACCTGGCTCCACAACAGCAGATGAATTCATATATGGACATGGAGTTTTTCAGTTTCACAAATGATGATTTATTCACTAATACATTTATTCTAAGGCTTTATCATACAATGAACATGGATTAGAAATACTTCTCTGACTGGCGTCTATCCACATCACAGTATATCAATTGAAGCCGTAAACTTGGTTGAATTCATGATTAAAATGATTATAAAATCCACATAAACTTGTTTTATTTCTCCTACTCCATTTTGACTTGTCAACCAAGTTTGTTGTAATTCTCACTTGACTATCTTAGTTTTGTTCAAGCGTATATTTTATACAGTAGACACTCCCACAGAATAAATTACGACCAGACGGCATGGTGAATATATTATTATTATTATTATTACTACTACTACTGACACTACTACAGCTGCTATAACCACCATTCTTGGTCAAAGGAAATCTGATAATGAGTGGGCTCTTTATCACCTTTCCAATGAAGTCTAGGGTGGAGGTAAAACACTTTTGTAGCCTACTGTTTGTATACTAGCATATATAATGAAATGATATAAATGTTTTGAAGATAGAAGCGTCGTATTACGTATAATTTAACTGTTGGCTGGATGCAATATGAGCTTGGAACTTTTAGTAATGTTTACTTTGCATCGAGAATCAAAGGAAGTCGGGAAATGTGAATTAATGGGTTCTGAGGTGGTGGCTGGATGACCAGGTGTTAACCATGAGGTCTGACAGTTCTGAATTCGATAGCTGACGAGGTCATGGATGAGTATTGATGAAGAATCTTGTACTAGTACAAAACTTCTGTCAAGTGCTCTCAGGTTTCCAATAGTTCTTTAACTGAAATACCTTATGTTTGTTTTTTTATTCAGTATCGTTTGGTTACCAATTTATAAATGGGTACAGTTTATCCGCTATGATGAATTATCTTTTTTATAGGAAAATTTCGAGATTCTCAAAAAACAGCGTAATCGGTAATACAAAGTACAATATTTGTTTTAATCGCACTTATAGGCACAGTGATTGATTTTTGGCATAGTGTACTGTGTGTGTGTGGGCGCGTGTATGAAGTAGTGGCGGTTCATTAGAGATTTATTCAAGGTCACTCAGCCTAGAATAATATGCAAAATGATCAGATGAAAATAGCGTAGATATATAAGCAAACTTCAAGCTTTACACATTGATCAACAGTTCAACACGAAATAGTCTTAAATCAAAAAGCTAACGTTTCTCCGTATATATATGGAGATTACTGAAAATCCTGTTAAGGTCTTATTCCTTTACAAAACAGATTCAGAGATTCATTGTTTGTTTTGTAAG